CTTCTTAAACTTGTTAATTATTCAATGATCTTCAGTAGTCATCATTATCATATTACTTTATTTCAAATATTGGTAAATGATTTAGTTTTTATCCTGTTCTATATAAGTGAAAATCATCAGAAGTTGTTATAAGTGGACACCATCACAATCCAGTCTAAGTTTATCTAATAAGTAACTCCGATGGTAGAACAGCTCCTAGTAATCAAACTAATGGTGGGGAAGATTTGTAGTTCAGGTGGGTGATTTTGATGGAGTTTTGTTCTCTGAGCTGGGTGTTTTGGCCGTGGAGCTTTCATCGTTCTTCTGAACGACATCACCAGCACAAACTCCAGCTTCAGTTCTATCTGAAGTTTGTACTGATGATGTTGTTCAGAGGAACGATGAAAGATCCACGGCCAAAACATCCAGCTCATAGAACAAAACTCCATCAAAATGAAACTAATTTAATTTAACAATATTTCTCAGACAAACAGCAAATAATACAATTTTTCGGAAGACAATTCCTACAACCAGTAAGATCTGCTATTCAGCAAGGTATGTTTGGTTGATTAACTGGGTAAGATGTAATGAACGTGTCTATAAACAACCTTCACGAATATCACTCAGTTTTCCGTCAATCAGAAAAAGTCTTTATTATATTATGAACAATTTGGGGAAAAGTAATAATATTATAAATGATACACAACTTTCCCATAGTTGATAAATTTGTTGAAGCGTTCTATAGGTTTTTCTTTTTATACATCGAAAAAAACTTAAGTATATAGAATAGTTCACATGGACATAGAACATTCATTTTATTGAACCAAGTCAAGGACGCAAATAGGTTTTTAGGAGTCCACACACATTACCTGATTAGGGTTTAGGGATTGGGTGAAGATTAAAATTTAGGGGTAAGGCTGATTTGTACGTTATATGCAAACAACATCGAAAGAATTGAGTACTTTGTGTATCCAGAACTAACAGTTTTACTCAGTGATGGTAAGAAATAATTTTTCATTATCATCTTAAACATTCTAAGCACTGAATACAGGTATTGTTGCTATCTGTTTTACCTGGTAAAGGATACATGTCATTTGTTATTGAATTTCTAGCTAAAAAACCAATATTTTTCTTGTTTCTAATTGGCTTTTCCCTATACCATACTTATACTATCAACTGCTCATGCTACTCAGTAATAATAATTATTTATTTGCACTGAAGAAGCGGTTTACATTAAGCCACGAAACGTCAAGAATTCCAAGGCATACTCTTTGGAATATAACAAATGTATTATTATTTTATTATTAATACTTATTCAGTATTTTTAATAAACCTACCTAACCAAGATGTAAATGAGCAGTAGGTATGCATTAATTCTAACTCAATGGCTGTCTAATTTAGATAGGTTCATGATTTCAACGATATTCAACCATCTCCGCTACCCCATACTAACAATTATTGTGTGATCACTAATGACTACTTTTGAGGGGGAATTTCAGTTCTAATGAAAAGCCATACCCAATGGAACTAAACTATGTCGAGAGTGATGAAGATACCTGCCGAAGACAATGGAAGATGGCGAACTGGTTTGAATTAGACTTGTAAACTATTGGATCCCTGCTCAGTGGTTTTGAAGTTAAGAGTTTGCTCAAGGAACAGAATCTTCTGGGTCTGATTACCCCTTGACGAAGAGTCCCATGCTAGGACGAAACGGTTATTCAGCGCTTTCAGATTGTCAGTGGTTGTCTAACTTTGAGCTGTTCGTGATCTAAGTGAAATCCTTATTTTTTTTTATTTCTCCATTTCTCTCACTTATAATAAATTAATCAACCGAAATGCAGAAAACATGATATTTTTTTAAATTTTCATTCTGTTGTTCATTTATATGTTATTCGTTGGAAGAAAGAAATTTTTTATTTCGAATTTATACTTTTAATTGTCTGATGGCGGAAATACTTCTCAATGGTTCAGTAGTTCAGTAATTTTTTTTATTTCTTCTTTGCTGAAGTTTAAAGATTTATTCATGTATAAAAAACATTTATCATTTTGTAATTAACCTCATTAGTGCATACTATATGTTCACCAGCATGGATTCTAGTATTTATTCAGTGTTTACATATTTACTATTTATATGTAAATATTTTAAAATTAAAACATGTTTTTATCTACTGTACTAAATATAATGGACAGCACTAGTTCAATTGAGTTTAAGTTTAGTAGGGAATAAATGCATATTTGTGCATGAAGTATTCAACTAGAAAGGAAGGTCCAGGACAGAGTGGGTTGGAGAATACTGGTCAGCGGCCTATGCTTCATCGGGAGTAACAGGCGTAAGTAAGTAAGCATGGAGTATTCACTGTACCATACATACCATGTAGGAGGATATTTATTAATACATTTCCATATATATATATATATATATATATATATATATATATATATATATATATATATATATATATATATATATATATATTGCAATAATTACTAGGACAGGTTATAAAGATTACTATCATGTATACATTTTGAAATTATAGAATGCTACAAAAAGTCCTAATAATAATAATTATTATTATACTGATAATATTCAGAGTAGGTACAAAACGTATCAATATCATTATAACATTCTTTTTTATTTCCTGTCAGCATCTATATTAAAAGTCATATAACAAATCATAATAGAGAAAATGATAATTGTCAAACTGAACTAGATTTATGAATGATGCTAAGGATGAATTTGGTTGATAGATAAATCTGTAAGTAAGCATGTATATGAATAGGTAGATGGGTGAATGGTGTTGTGATAATATAACTATGTCAGTAGAATAAATAAAAAAGAGAATATATATATATATATATATATATATATATATATATATATAAACTCATACATGAACATATGTATAATAGCACTATAGGAAACTAATGCATTAATATAAGACATATAAAGAATATATATATATATATATATATATATATATATATATATATATCCTATCTGATAAGCTATACTCTTGAATGATTCTTTTCCAAAAAGCTGAACTGAGCAATTGTTAGATTATGGCGGGGAATAAGGAAGATTAATGATAATAATAATAGTAATATGTATATGTGATTAAATGAATCCTCATTTATAGTTGTCCGGATATGAATGTGTGCGAAGGAACGTAAAGTAGCATAAACAAAGAGAGAAACAATTTTCGAAAGATCCATTAATTCACAAAACAAAAAATAAGGAATAAGGACATTTCTGATGGTTAAACTCCAAATCCAATAAGCCCCTATTGATTATGTACTGTTATTAACTGTTGAACAATCATGCAGGATGATTAAAATAATTATTCAACTTAATTTTTGGGGACATTTCTAAAAAATAATATCAGTTTAGAGTGAACATTGTTGATAAATAAATATTGTATTTTAATGGTTGAGATCACCATGAAAAACTTGGAAGCACTGGACGGTCGTTTAGTTCTATTGTGGGAATCTCAGTAGTGCGCGTCCACGACCCCGCGTCGCGAGATTTGAACTCAGGACCTATCAGTGTCGCGAGTGAGTGTTTAACCACTTGACCACTGAGCCGGCCGAAATCCAAAGGTGTTAATGTCTAACTTCAATTATTGTATTCTTTAGAACCTGGTTTTTTAATTATATCCACTGATTGTAGTGTTTAAATAATCAGTAGGAAACGAATTTGTTGTAAGAACATTTTGTAAACAAGATCGATGATTAGGAATAACATTGAATCTGGACGTCTGTTGGATGAATACTCAGATAGATATTAAAGCAAAATTAAGTATTCTCACTTGCGATGTATACACATGTATACTCATTTGTCCTATAAATATGTGATTGAGAACATAAAAACCTAATTTGACGAGATTCAAAGTATGTCACTTTTATCTCGTTTAAAATACTTTTCATTTTGAAGCATTATAATTGTTCAGTTTTCACCTTCATTGTGTAAAACATTCATCAAAGTTAAGTTCTTTAGTTACATTATTATTTCATGTCATTGTCTTCATATTCTTAAAATACTAGGCACGTATGACTATTTTGCATTCTATGAAATTTCAAATAGGTGAGTAGATCTGATGAGTAAGGAGAGTGATCTATACTGGTGAAAGAATAACGGGATCAAGAATCACTGCTTAGATGGACATATTTATGAGAAACATACTGTTACAAAATCAAGTCATTACTTCAAATAAAAAAATTATAGTGAATAATTTTCAGTTTTCTTATATGAACAAACTATTCTTCTAAAAGGCATTAGGTCAGTTACATATGAGAAATATTCTGCTTTTTTTTCTCTTGTATTATTCTTTTGTTATTCAATTGTTTCATTTAATCTCTTTTAATTGTATGGTGTTCTAATTTAAAATTAAAATAATTATTTGATTGATTTCAACAATATTGTTACCACTCTTTTGTTTTTGTTGTTGTTGTTGTTATAGCAATTCAACGGTTAGTTTCTACCATTCCATTATACCGGTCATAATGACGGATCAAGAATGAGTTAACTGAATCCATTTAGCATGAAATTCTCACACTTTAACATTCGATAATGTTCTGACAACTGAAGTTATGGAATCATTCAGTAAGACTTTTGTTCATTATGATATTTGTTTAAATTATATAGTTACTAAAATATAACTAAAATGTAATCAAAAGTAGATAAGTGTGTAATTGTATACATTGAGATGGTCTTTTTAGTTGACTGTGAATAATAAATGAGTCTTCATCGAGCGTCCTTTTTTGTCATCTCTCTCCCTTTTAAATTGAATTGCATTCAATCAGAGTGTGGGTTTGTCAGAGTAGAGGACTTTAGTTGTTGCTAGTATCAGAGGTTATTACATAATGTCTACTAGTAGGGAAAAAAGCACTTCATTTCTCAACAAAAACTCTGCATTCATAACAACCAATGAAATACTTTTATAATTAAAAAAACTTCAAGTTATTTTAAGTTGATTTAAATAAATCGAATAATATTTCTAAGAAATACATAAATATAAACTTACATTTGACAGTCAACCGAAACTGTCTTGTAATCATTGGTGGGATTTGATGATAATTGTTCATTGTTGCTCCTCCTCCTGCTCCAGATGTAGCTATTCTTGTTCTTACAGTACATTGATATTCTCCGTTATGATCTAAAGTCAGTTTATCAATACGTAGTTGTGATTCATGAAAATGACTTAAATCAAATTTATGATTAACATTATCATAATTGTTATGAGAAACTGTACCAATCACAGATGGTGCTCGAACTAGAAGACGTTGTTTATGAATAATAGTATTCGATGCATCTGATCCACTATTGCTCGCTTGTTTAACAGATCGTAAATTATTATTATTTATGTTATTGTTAGCATTACTAATAAATTCCCATTGATAAATTAAGTTGTCTAACGAACCATCAGTTCCAGTCATAACAGCATCACAATCAAAAATAATATGATCACCCCATGATTTGGTTGGATTCAATTCTCTATCTGTCAAACTTGTCAAAAAACATGGTCCTGTAAAAAAAGATTTGATTTATAAGATAAACATGAGTAATCGTATAAATAGTTGATTACAAAGGGGAAAAGATCACAATTTTGATGTAAATGAAAAACATTTAAATAATAGTTTGACATTAGCTAGCATTAAGCAATGATATCACCTGGAGAAGAATCATTAAAAAGCAGGGATACCAGATAGCTGTTTAATTCTAGTTTAGGATATCTCAGCAGTGTACACTTACAAGCATCTTAAAGACTATAATCAGTAAACTTAGATATCACGGCGACTACAATGCCATAAAAGCCCAATGTGCTGGAATCCATCAATCCAAATTCAGTCTTGAAAATTGAGATGACAAGACTGACTAATGTTGGACAGTTATTCGATCGTTTTCCAGCTGTCATCAGTCCATGATGATAACTTATCTTATTACTGATTCAGGATTGAGATCAATTAGAATTACTTCCTTACACGTACATTTTATATTTTATTCTTCTAGTCACCTTCTTTTCTCTTAACAAAAATCTTAATCCTCTGTTCAACATCCAAACCGTTTATCTCTCAGTTCTTGTTTAAAGCATATCAGTAGATGCATCCCTAAATGGGATTTCTAAATACTCTACGTTTACACATAACAAATAAGATTGAAAATTAAATAGTGGATTTCGGATGAGAGAACGTTCCAGTATCGAAACCAGGTAGCATGTTAAACATTAGGACTACAATATTCAACAGATTAAAAAAAACCACCAATAATTTATTTTATTTTCAGTAAATTTATCTCAAATTCCATTTTACCTAATCAAAGACTTCATTCAACAAATTCAAGAGAAAATGAGGTTTTCTCCAAACAAAAAGAGTGTTGGTGGAATGCGTCTACATGCATTGGAGAGAAAAAAAGAATCAAACGAATGGATTTGCTTCATTTAGTATCAAACGAATAACCTATTTGAGTTAATGAACAACAAACCCAAGTGATCCAATACAATTTTCATTTTTAAATGAGTCCATTAACAGATTAGAATAATTAATTTTCTTAGAATAAACTCAAAAAGAAAAGACGCTTAATTTTACTTGTGTATGTATGGGAATGCATGTGTGTGGATTGTGAAATAAACAGATGAAGAAAAAGTAACATTCACATTTGGTAAAGAAAAATGAATGTTCCTTTTTTTGCCAGGAGTGTACAATTGAAAGTTAACGATGATCAATTTCTGAGTAGTAACCAATGTTATGTTTATCTAGTTCTAATAGTGCTGATAAAATTCTGTCGATCAAATTACAATGTAGCCACTAATCTGAGTGACTCAAAATCACATGCACGATGCTCAGGTGTTAGATGGTTAAAGGTAGCCAAGTGAGTATCCTGTATTAGTCTATGTGCCATTCTAGTTTGTGAGGTTTGAACCCCTGTTACCTAGTCGCATAGTCCCAGACGTTAACAGTAAGCTACAACTGAATTCCTGTAGGAGCGATACATTTACATTACATTAGTAACTGAATAGGAGTTAATGTCATGTCTATTTAGTTGTAGATTTCCACCTTCAATCATTTAACATTTGAAAGTACAGTTATTTTTTACTAAAATATATTGTTAAATGACTTATGTTTTAGAATTAAGATTCAGTTATATTAAAAACGAAACACCTGTTAAAGAAAGTCCTCAGATTTTCCCAATTTTGTGCATCTTTTTCATGATGAATAAAGATCAGCTAGAGATTCAATTGGAACGTAAATAGGTTGTCCTTTATTGTGTTTATTCAATAGTATATTCTTACAACCATACATAGAATTGAACTTAGAACGATTGGATATCACGATTAACAGTTTACCACTTAATAACAGTATAAAATCAGTAACTCATTAGTTTTAAGCTTTATTCAATCTATAATCTAGAACGACAATCACCTAGTGTTATCAGAGAAAGATTTCCTTTCATCATTGTCATTACCTCTCGTTACACTTTGAATGATGATTGTGCTTTTGTGGGTTATTTTTCAATAATATCCGAGTGTGTGACACTCATTCTTTAGTCTCAATTATTGTCAAAGCAATTAGTTGTTTTTAGAAGTACCATTTTAATCATTAGAGTTCATAGTGAAACTTAGTTATATGCACTGGATTCTATTCTTATGAAATATACATTCTGGTTGTTATTAAAACTAACTAAACAATAGTTCAATACTTCAGACAAATTTCAATTAAAACTGTATGACAGTTTTTAATCTCACACAGTTTTAAATTAACCTTTAAACATCATATTTCATAAAGCTAATCGTATTTCTCTTAGAATAGAAACCCTGACGATGTTGACCAGCCTGACAATAACACGAAGGCTGGAAAATAGGATAATGTCACTCAGTGGATATAAAATGAATTTGATTTAGTTAGTAAACGTTATTTATTCATAATGTTCTCACTCCTCCGACAATTGAGAGTAGTGGTGATAGTTTTTTAGTAAAGTTGAATAATGACTAATATGAGAGTGGGATACAAGTACATGCAAGTGATAAGTCGCAAATAAGACGAAACGTGCATCCTGGGTTGCACTGCTGGCCACTTTCCAAACTTATTGAAAAATTGTGACGAAACAACAATATCAAGGCACATATGCCAAAACAGACTGACTAGTTAAATTTCTCAACATCAAAAAAGGGAATATTCAGGAAGTCATCAATATATTTGCAATGAATACTTTGGTATTTCAAAAATAGTATAAATTATCGGGATCATGAGTCAATTGAAGCTAGACCAACATGGAATACCTGGGAGAACTGAATGGTCGTTTCGTCCTGTCGTGGGGCTCCTCCGTAGTGCGCATCCACGATCCCGCTCGCGGGATTCGAACCCAGAACCTATCAGTATCTCTAGTGAGCGCTTAACCACTAGACCATTGAGTCGGCCGATATCCAACGGTGTTAATGTCTAACTTCAACTAATCCACGAAATTGAGCGACACTTCCACCATCGTCTTCAGTGAGTTACTATCTCACAACTGACCCGGTTGAACTCCACTGGTCACTGCTTCTCACTAGAACTCCAAGATATACATCTTGAAGGTAATCACTAATGAGCATATGTTTATCAGTATCAGAAGGGGTTGTGAGATAGCAACTCACTGATGACGACGGTGGATGTGTCGCTCAATTTCGTGGATTAGTTGAAGTTAGACATTAACACCGTTGGATGCCGGATCAGTGTTCTAGTGGTTAAACGCTACAGCAGATGTTAGTTAGTTCAGTAGGGATGAAGAAATAAAATATATACCCGGTTCAATGGGTATGCTGTTAAGATATAATTTCTGAATTTGAACATCAAATAATTGTTTCACAAGTCCGACTTCAACACGGCCATCCAGATAAGGATTTTGGTACTAAGTGTAATAAGTGCCATACCAACTATTACTGGTTTACTGTTACATTATGTTCGTATAGACTTTAACGTAATGAATTCATGATTAATTACAACAATTTATAAAATAAACCCTTTAGAGTATTACTTATTACGTTTTTAAGTAGCACGAAGTAAAATGGAGAATTATGAGTCCTAATCATTCATATATGTATACCAAGAATAATGGTCATTGCTGACTGTAAACATACTTCCAAAGAAAAAAGGATAACAGATGATGCACAGAATAGTAGAAAGGACAAGGTGAAAGTAACGAAAGGCTAATAAAATGAAGAAAAGAAGTATATAAAAGGAGGATTTGGTCAATATAATTGCAAAGTGTAAAAGAGACAAATGTATGTAGCGTTTGTTTGTAATAGTGAAAAAAACACAAGAAATCGGTCCGATCAAATTTTGTACCAAAACACAAACAGACAAACAGAAAATCGTCTGAGGAAGAAGAAGAAAATGAATTAAATAACAAAAAACAACACTCAAAAGAATTTAGATCACCACATCGTTTTTGTATGTTTTCGGACAAAGGTAATCCTAGCAATAATAGTAATGATAATAATAAATTTAGGCAAAAAAAGCTTCATATGGATGAATGCGAAGAAATTTTCTCTTCCTAGGGAAAAATAATAAATTTACTCTATAATCTACCTACCTACCTAATTACATTGATAATTATGCAATAATTAGAAATTCTTCCCAAGAAAAAAATAAGAGCAAAAAACAACGGCAACAACAATATAATTCATAAGCTAAGAGGGAAAAGACGAGAATAAGACGAATGTTAAATTGATACAGAAAAATGAGTAAAGTCTAGTTTGTACAATTTGTTACGAGTTAGTAATTGTTTTATTCAACCATGCGAGAGAGATATAGGGGAAACATGAAAATTGAATAAATGAGTTTATTTTATAAAGGAAATTATCATATCTAACCATAGATATACCTATATAGGAAGAGAATATACATATGTGTGTATGAACAAGAGTGAGTATTAACTAAAGAATAAGATTTTCTATAAACTGAATACGGAGGTTTTTAAGTTGACTTTCATCACAAACTGGTTTCCATCTTGTAAATTAAACAGCACTAGACTAACAGTTACCTCATAGTTTGGATATTCCTCAAAATTGTACACTCATAACCCCACAACATACTATTAACTGATTGTAGTTGGAATATAACTCCGCCTGCAGCTCTCCTAGAGTTACTGCCGGTCCCAAGCCCGGATAAAGGAGGAGGGTTGGGCATGGGGTTAGCGTCCCCATCCCGTAGAAAACTAACTCGCTAAAAAAACGCTAACCAGAAAAAATAACTCAAACCATTTAAACTCTGCCCTGGGAGTTAGAAGGTCTTCATTTAGAAGAAATATGACGCCTCAGGGTGAAAGCCGAGTTCCTTCGGAAGCCATGAGGCCAATGCCCCTTCTGACAACCAGAGCAACAATTTTTATAGGTACATGGAACGTCCGGACAATGTGGGAGACCGGGAAGACCAGTCAAATAGCAATGGAAATGAGGAGATACAACTTGGCAGTACTGGGAATCAGCGAAACCCATTGGACCCAAGCTGGACAACAAAGGTTAAATACGGGAGAGATGCTGCTATACTC